CACCAAGGTATAGGTAGTCCTTGACCCATTCCAGATCCATACCCTGTACAGTGAGTTTTTTGTTTCTGACATTAGTTCTCAGAGCCATTGCTTTGGATTTTGCTGCTGATATTTTTAAACCTGTCCTACAACACTTTTCAGACACCAGGTTCAGACAACGCTGAGCTCTAGTTAGGCAGTGATTGCCAGAGGCTATAATTGCCAAGTCATTAGCATAAGAGATGATCTTGCATCCCTCTGGCAGGTGAATGTCGAGTATGTTGGACATGAGGGTATTAAACATGGCTGGACTGAGAACCCCTCCCTGAGAAATTCCATTTCCAAGTGGCATGTGCTGTGAGAGGTGGCCTTGAAATTTGACATTTGCCAACCTATTTTTAAAATAGCTATCCAGGCCAAGAATCTGTCTTTGACTCCTTTGTGGATTTGGGTCTCTTGAATGGCAAGCGGGCTTGCCAATTCAAAAGCCTTCTCCAGGTCTAGGAAGACGGTGGGCGAGGTGCATATTGTGCTTAAGAGTGTGGAAATGCTGTGTGCAGTGCTCTTACCCCTTGTGAACTCGTGCAGGTGGTCATGAGGGGGACCCATCAGAGCCTGTTGAGTACCATCTTCTCAGCTGTTTTACTCAGGCAACTGAGAAGAGAAATGGGACGGTACTTGCCAGGCTCCTTTGGTTTTGGGATAGGAACTATTGTGGCTTGTTTCCAGCTCTGGGGCACCATGGCGCTTTGCCAGGATTTGTTGATAACTTGCAAGAATGCAAGTTCCCCTGCCAGCCATGATGGTTGCTCAGTGTCACTTGCTTCAAATTCAGATGCCCCAGTGCTGGTGGTATCTGATAAATATAGATCCTCGTTGACTGAGGATTGTACAACTTCCTCTAAGTCAGACACTCCGGTTAAGGGTCTACCGAGAGGTGTAGAGCCTAGGTTGGAAGTGCCACCTCGAGTCAGGGGATCAGACTTTGGCTGTACAGACTCGGCCTGCAGTGGGGGCTTCTGCTGCACAGTTTCAGTCTGTCCTGACCGACTAGCTGGGGTTTCACATGATGCTTCTCCCGAAGTTAGCCTGCCATTCGAGGATTTAGAGAGGGGAGCGCTGCTCTTTTTCGGTTTGGGGGCTTCTAGCTTCCTTCCCTTCAGAGCTACAACAGTTTGGGTCATAGCCGTCATAGCTGGACTGCCTTCTCCGCCTCCTCACTGGTCCTCCCCAAGGCTGTTGCTACTACAGAAACTACAGCACTCAACAGGAGAGTCATATCTTTCTCGTCAAAGAAAAGATTATCCTCTACTGGGGGTCCTTTGCTGTGGCCTTTGAACCTTTTTCCCTTGGGTTCTTTTTCATTTTCTTGCCACTAGCAAGCTTGGGGAATTCCTCTCTGTTAGAGGTATCCGGCTTTGGCTGGGGAGGTGTCTCCTTCCTCTTAGGAGGTCGGGGAATCCTTTCCCTTTTACTTTGTCCCCAGACATAGGTGCCTGGGGGCGCAGGGACAAAGTCAGGACGCTTTTTGGCTTGCTCCTGCTTTTCAATGACTGCCTGTTTCCTGATAGAGCAAGCCAGGCTCCAGGCATGATGCTTCTTGGCACAGTTAGGACACTTGGCTGTTGTGTCCTGGCCATCTTTGTGTGCCATGATGCACACTTCTGTTTTGTGTGCCTTGCTGCATACACCACATATGGCTTTGGCCTTGCAGTTGGCCTGGTGATGCCCAAATTTCTGGCACATGAAGCACTTCAAGGGATATATACCAGGAGATAAGGATAAG